CATAAGCAAAATTGGAACGATGCATGGGCTCATACTCTCACGCACATATCCTTTGGCCATCAATTCCTCTACTTATCTTTGTAGCTCCTTTGTCTCCTCTGGACTACTTTTATAAGCTGGTTGATTAGGAATTTGCACCTCGAGAATGAAATTGATTTGGTGTTCGATCCCATGAATCGATGGCAAGCCATGCTCAAGCTCTTCGGGAAACACATCTTCAAAATCCTATAAAAGAGACATAACCACACTAGGAAGAGAAGAGTTAAGATCGTTAGAGTTTAAAAATGCTTCCTTGTACATAAATACAAGTACTTTTTGTTTCGACTAGATTGCTCTCTTAATCTCTCTTTCTTTGGCATAAAAACTCGCATTCTCTCTCTTTTGCTCTCTTGGCCTCTCTTTCCTTTTCTCTTTTGAATTAACGGCCACAATCCCCTTTCCATTCTTTTTTTTTTTTCACTCATTTCACTTTTGTTTTCCTCACACAACTCCCTCTTTTCTTCACTCCTTCTCAACCTCACTTGATCTTTATAAATCTATTTAGGAGTCAAAGGTACAAGAGTTACATTTTTCCCCTTAAAAAACAAAAGAGTAATGATTTCTAAACCCATCATGCATGAGTCGCCTATCAAATTGCCAAGGATGGCCTAATAACACATGACTAGCTTGCATGGGTACAATATCACACATTAATTCATCTTGGTACCCACCTATAAAAAATAACACAACTTCTTATTTAATTACCCTAACTTCTCCACAATTATTAAGCCATCATAGTTTATATGGTCGAGGATGTTTAACACAAGTCAAACCAAGTTTCTCAACCAGAGTAGTACTAGCAACATTAGTACAACTTTCTCCATCTATGATGAGACTACATATGATGGATATCAAGGTGGTTCAACAAACCAAAATGACCCATTGACCAATTTTGGAGGACCTATGACTCGAGGCTAGGGCTAAGAAGGTCAAAGAAGCTTTGTCAAGCTTCTTATAAGTCATTGGCTCAAGGATGATTCATGGAAAAGCGTTTATGGTTCGTGATGGTCCAGTCATGGTTAACATGGTTCAAGCCATTACCAACCAAGTTGAAGCAACATGAAAATAAAGGGCTTAAAAGAATTCAGCCTTGTTTTGAACTTGTTAGGCCTTATTTATTTGGAACTTGTTTTATTTTATTTTGTTGAGTCTTATTTCGTTGTGGCTTATTTGTTTAGGCCTATTTTTATTTAGCTAGTTATGTTTACATTAGGCTAGTTTCAATAATATTTGAAGTTAGGCCCAAATAAGCTATAATTTTTGCATTAGATTCAAGCCTTCTTTATTATGTTCAAATTTATCTTCTTATTTGTGTTGATTTAGGCAATCTGATGAAGGAGGGGTGGCTATGCTTAATTCTAACATTCAATGTTTCTTATAATGGTGGAGGTTATGTTCATTATGGTGGAATTAACCTAATTATGTTATTATGGCAAGAGAAGGATACATAAGGGAGGTTACAAGAAAAGGAATATGGCTGTCATAATCATAAAGAAGTTACATAAGGGAGGTTACAAAAGTGGCATTAGTGGTGCTATTTATGAATTGTATTTTCCTTTATTCCAAAATTACCCTTGGCCTTTCACCGTATAAAGACAAAGCTTTATCACTTGTGTCAACAACATTCAGAATACAATTTCTATACCTTTCTCAAGTGAGAATTGTTTCTTTAAGCTTTTATTTGGCACTTTAGAACTTATCAAACTTTTGTTTGTGGTTTTCAAAATTCTTAACACCTACTAGCTATAGTCTTTATCTCATTGTAGATAAAAGGTTATAGTTCTTATCCTTAAGGTCTTTAGCTCAAAATAGCTAAAAGGTTTTAAGATTATTTTCTTTGTTTCTTGAATCTTGATTGATAGATCCTAAACATAAAAAGAATTATTTTTGGGATTTTTGAGTTGTTTAATCTTCATCTCTTCTGGATCAATATATCCATTGGATTTGGAATTTCAAATTAAAAGGTTCTAATTCCAATTTCATATCAACATACCTTTTCCATAACATGGCAATGTGTGTGAAAGATATTGTCTTACTCGCTCCTCTTCTTCATCCTTCAATTGGATACTTTGTTCTTGCAACAAGCATTTCCCCATGTACAACAAACTCCATCCCATCATTATCATCTTCTAATGGTGGCATCTAATCATCATCCTCACACTCACTTTCGAATTCATACATGCCATCTCAAATCACCATTGCTCACTTGTTTGGACATAACGAAGCAATATGTCCCCTACCCAAACACTTAAAACACTTAATATCATGATTCTAAGGAGTTTGAGTGTTACAAGTACCTTTGTCTTTGTTGAATCCAGAATTAGTTATAGGCTTGCCCTCCTCGACCTTGGGCTTAAATATAGGCTTCTCTTCATTCTTGCTACAATTGCTCTTTCAGGATGAAGAACTTGTATTTTGCCCAATAAGTGAATTACCCTTGTATTTAAGTTAGCTTTTGATTTTCCCTATGCCAACTCTTCCATTTTGACATAATGTTGCAATTCCATAATGTTTGCAATCTCACAGTTTAGCCCACCTACAAATCGAGTCATAGTACTCTTTCAATCCTCCATAATATTTGCATGTGTCATGGCTATTTCTATTTCCTTGTAGTACTCATCAAATGACTTTGGACCTTGAGTTAGCCTTTGTAGCTTTTGATGCAAATCTTGATAGTTGACTAGTCAAATCATTTCTTCATAACAGCCTTCATCTCATCCTAAGTTATAATAGAACACTCTCTATTTTATCTTCTCTCCAAAACCATGTGATCCCACCAAACAATAGAATAGGATGTGAACTCTACAGTAGCAAACTTAACCCTTTTTGCCTCTGAATACTCATAACAATCAAATACAAATTCACTCTTTCTCTCCCATTCAAGATACAAATCAAGATCTTTTTACCTTCAAATGGAGGGATGGTTAGTTTAAGCCCATTTTTATTATTTTCATAACCATTATGGCCCCATTTTGGTCACTTAAAACCATGGGCCCAATCACGATGATCACTACCTCGGCCTCCATGTCCACCAAGGCCTCTATTGCCATGCACACCTTTTGCATTTTGCATAAAAGATGTATGATCATCAAATGTTTCCTCCTCCCGAAGATAAAAGGCAAGTACGAGATGAAGAGGAGTTGTTTGAACTTTCTCATTTTGTCTCAACTCCATGGCTTCCATTCAATTGTTAATATCCCTCATAAAGTGCATTAATTGACTCCATTAAGCTTGGGTCGCTTCTTGAAGCAATTTATTTTCAACTCTCCCCTCCACTTCATCTCCAATTACTTCTTTTTGCTTATCTCCCATGATTGGAAACCTACAAAGTTAGAGAAAACTAGAAAATATTAGCAATTGTTAGAACCTCACAATAGCACTCCCTCGCGTGTTGGCACTCTTATAAGATGTCACTCACACTCGTGTTTACACTCTTTTAGGTTTTTTTATAATAATCTCACCCTCTTACCTCTTACCATTCTTATTTTTGCCACTAACTCTTAATCAAACTAATTAGACAAATCTAGAAATACAACACAAATGGACGAACTAAACTTAAACTCTTGAGAGTAATTCAAGGTGTTTTTGTAGGCTTCCACACTCATTCCTCAATTCATTCAATTTGGCTTCCAATCATCAATTTCTGATTGTATAAGTCCCACACATGTTTGGAGTGCTTAGGCTCAATAACAGACTGTTTCTTGTAATTTGTTCAAAGATCACACCTCTTGCTCACGTTCCACAAATCTAATTCAGTTCAGAATTTCATTTTTTTTTTTTTTTGATCTAAACATTCAATTGATAAAACACACTTCTCTTTTGTAACCAATCAGATTGCTCTTTCTTTTTTTTTTTCGTTTTTTTAATAATTTGTAGAACATCACAACAATTCTTTTCTTTTTTTTTTTTTTGGTAGCCTTAGGATGTTTTCTTTCGGATTTTGAACAAGAAGAAAAAATTTCAAAATCGAATGACAAGACAGACTTGGATTAAACAAGACAACAATGAATGAGACACAATAGGATAGAAACTATCAGACTTCTTTTTGTCTTTTTTTTTCCAATTGAAACTGACTCAATTTGGACTAAAATGAAATTAACTACAAAGACACGAAATAGAACCAAAAATAATGAAAAAGAACCTGATTTGTATTGAGAAAATGAAGTTAACTACAAATCAGACCTTTTCCCTTTTTTTTTTTTTCCTTTTTAGCTCTAGCACGTGTCATTGGACCATCTTTAATGTGTATTGGATTGGATGTTGGACTTGTAAACTCACCATCTTGGACCTTCCTTGGAGACATCACCTTGCTAGTCCATTTAGCTCCATGGTTTCCATCAACGAGGGCACAAGTTAATGTCTCCTCATGAATGTAACTATTATTTATGAATAAAATGGTTAAGAGGATCATAAAGGGAGAGAATGATAAAAAGGTAATCTATATTAAACTGTAAGATATCATATCGGTGAATATTCTTTTATTGATCATAGGTCAAGTTCCATAAGGTTAATATACCATACTAGTGTGGTGGGAAAAATTAATGTGGATTACCCATTATAGCATACTCTTATTGGTGAATCTAGTGTCCCATACACGGATTAGATAAAGAGATAGGATTGACCTATGATTGATAGGGTTTTATCATAATTTTAGGCTCAACTTTTCCAAGAAGATAGCTATTATTATATGGTTATTGGAATATTCCCAATTGAAACAATTATAGAATCATTAAGGAGTGCCATTCTTAAGACTTGTAGTACACAATATATATGGGAGATATGGTAGGAAGATATTATATCATAGGAGTTATTGATTAAGATGATATGGACTATAGTGTATCATGATCAATTCATGAATAATTTATCAAGAATCACTATGTCTTCTCTATAGAAGGCCCTATCATGCTTTAATAAATTCATGTGGAAGACATTCACCATAATGGCTTAGATAGTTTGATAACTCAATCTCTCCCTCTCGTGAAAGGACATGCCCTAGAGATACCTTCATAAGTGAATTTATACTCACTATGATAAAATGGTAATGCCTTTGCATGGAGATTATATTCATATGACAAATGAATATAAAGGAGTATATCTATAAGGAGGCAATCCCTCTTGGTGATCGGAGTGGTAGTCTTGATAAACTATTCACGAATTGATCATGATACACTATAAGTCCATATCATCTTAACCAATAACTCCTCTAATATAATATCTTCCTACCATATCTAAATATATTATCCATGATAGTATAATATCGATCAACTAACAATATACTAAATCCTATTTATATAGTAATTGGATAAGGGTGTGCCCTTATAAAGGTACCCTCAAGCAAATATCTTTTTTGACTAGAATTTTCGTATAGCATATTATCATACCTTTGAATTATGGTACTTATTAAGCAAGGGTAATAACTAAACCAGCCTTTAAATAGGCTAAACACGTCACTCCTAACCCTAAAAGGACTCTACACATCCTTTCCATCTAAGGAGAACATAAACAAACCCTAATGGACTTGAAAGAATACGAAAATAATAGGGCTTAAAACATTGAGCTCAAATCCAACTTAATTAATTAGTTATAATTATAATTAAGTTAGATATAACAAAATAGGCCCAATATAATTTAAGGAGCCCAATCTTAGACTTGGATTAGATTGACAAGTCTTGGATCCTCCTCTTCTCTTAAGATGGTGCCACAATGCTCTTTTGGGCCTTTGAAAGTGCATTCTGCCCAACACTCTTGAATCAGCCCATGGAGAGCTTCTTTAAGCTTCCTAGCCCTAGCCCACCTCATTGGACCATCTTTAATGTGTAACTGGATCAAATTTTAGACTTACAATCTCACCATCTTAGATCTCCCTTGGAGATGGCACCTTGCTCGCCTTGGGCCCTTGGAAGTGTATTCTGCCCAACACTCTTGAATCAGCCTATGGAGAGCTTCTTTAAGCTTCTTAGCCCTAGCCCACCTCATTGGAGCATTTTTAATGTGTAATTGATCAAATCTTAGACATGCAAACTCACCATCTTGGATCTCCCTTGGAGACGCCACCTTGCTGGCCCATTTGGCTACCTAATTTCCATCAATACAACCTTAACTTTCTTTATTCTCATCATTCCCACTTTCCTCAAAAAGATTCATCCTCGAATCTTCATCTTGATGTTCATCATACTCCCTCGATTGGAGAACACTCATCCTCGAATCTTGTAATAACAAAGTATAAAAAATAGGTACCGAACCTGCAAAATACGAACAAATAATGGCAAAAAAAATTCAGATTTGATTTTGTTGTCATTCATCTCCTCCGAAAGGACAAATTCAATATATGGTATATTCTCTTAAGCATCCATAATCTTCTCATTGTCTTCCTCCTCTTGCATAGATACAAGATTATCAAACTCGTCCTCTTTTGGCTCTTCTTGTTGTTTTGCCAAATCTTTAATGAACACAGACTCTTCTCGTTTAATACTCTCTAACTTCTCCTCAAGCACTAGTTCTCTTAAATTAAGATTGAATTTGGATGCCTCGGCCTTGGGCTTGTAATCATCCTTGGTTAACTCTTTATTGACAGCAACATAGTCATCATTATGACTAAAAATTTGAGTGCTCTCAACACCCATAAAATCAGCAATAGCATAGCCATCGTTATGAATGAAAGTTTGAGTGCTCTCAACTTTTTTCTCTCAATTTCTTGTTTCAAGCTCATTTGGTCCTCATAAACTTGCTTAGGTGATAATGGAACAAGTGTTACTTTTCGTCCCCTCATTTCAAATGAATATTTGTTGCTAAACTCATTATGTGTCACTTTTCTAACAACTTGCCAAGGTTTTCCTAGCAAAATATGACCCACTCTCATCAGCACAACATCACACAAAACCTCATCCTTGTATCTCCCAATAGAAAAAGACACTATCACTTGTTTGTTTACCTCGACTTCTCCACACTCATTTACCCATTGCAATGTATATGGTCTAGGATGTTTAATTATGAGCAAACTCAATTTTTGACTAACTCAGGACTAGCAACATTGACACAACCACCCCCATCTATTATCAAATGATAGACCTTATTATTGACAACATGACATCGGGTATGAAAAATATTATCTCTCCATGCCTCCTCCTCACTTTTCACTTGCGTGCTTAAAGCATGCATAATTACCAATGACTTACCACAAACATCATTATCAACAATCACTTCACCCTCTCCTTTAGGATTTTTATCTTTTGACATGTTTAAAACCTACACAAAATTCATTAGTAATAAAAATTCCTCACACACACTCCCTCATGTGTTTCACTCAAATTGATGCCACTCAAAGCTCGTGTTTGCTCTCTTTTAGGCTTTTTCTTTAATACGTTCACACTCTCTAGCCTTTTACCACTCTAACTCACTTCTTTGGTTCTTCTACAAACTAATCCAAACCACACAAGAACTAACCAATTGCAAGTGACTCAACAACTTCACTTTCCAAGGATCAGATTTCAGATAGATTTGGAACAAGGAATTGACAAACCAATTCAAATAAGAATTTTAAGTTTTCAAACACTAAGAATGATACTAGAACTGACTTGAATTGAATTTAAACAAGACAATAACAAATGAGACACAACAAGATAAAACAAATCAAACTTCTTTTTATGTTTTTTTTTTGAATTGGAACTGACTCAATTTGGAAACGAAACTATAAAAACACGAAATAGAACAAAAGATAATGAAAAAGAACCTAATTTATATTGAGAAAACGAAGTTAAATACAAATCAGACTTTTCCCTTTTTTCTTATATAATATATAAGACTCAATTTATCAAGTAAAGGAACACGAGAATCAAATGAGAAAAGAAATGGTAGAATAAGAAGGAAGACACAATAATGAAAACAAGATAGATATAAAATAAAAGACACAAGGACTATGGATAACCAACTTGACTTTGCACAACCTAGGCTTTGATACCAACTGATGTGAACCCCATGTATAAATACGAGAGTCTCAAACACCTTTGTCACTAGACAATCCCAAGAACACGACAATCATGTTATAATAAGTGGAACCCGACTCGTTGCCTATAAAGAGGTAAGAACCAAAGCTATGATGCAATGAAGTGAAGAATTGCCACACCCTATGGAGGATGATAAGTTCAAAGATGCCACAAGGTTTGCAATCCTTGATAAGTCAGATTTAGTTCTCAAAAGAATAAAGGAAGCAAATCCTCTCAAATTTATTAACTCTCAAAATTATTGTCTAAGTCTAAAACAAAACTAAGCCAGCCTTTGAATAGGCTAAACACGCCACTCCTAAACCTAAAAGGACTCTACATGTCCTTGCCATCTAAGGAGAACATAAACAAACCCTAATGGACTTGAAAGAATACGAAAATAATAGGGCTTAAAACATTGAGCCCAAATCTAACATAATTAATTAGTTCTAATTATAATTAAGTTAGATATAATAAAATAGGCCCAATATAATTTAACGAGCCTAATCTTAGACTTGGATTAGATTGACAAGTCTTGGATCCCCCTCTTCTCTTAAGATGGCGCCACAATGCTCCCTTGGGCCCTTGGAAGTGCATTCTGCCCAACACTCTTGAATCAGCCCATGGAGAGCTTCTTTAAGCTTCTTAGCCCTAGCCCACCTCATTGGACCATCTTTAATGTGTAATGGATCAAATCTTAGACTTGCAAACTCATTTCTTAGATCTCCCTTGGAGATGCCACCTTGCTGGCCCATTTGGCTCCTTGGTTTCCATCAATACAAGCTTGACTTTCTTTACTCTCATCGATATCAAATGTGGCTATGATGGCAAAATATAACTGATTTTACATACAGTGGATAGCTGAGGAGAGGAACAATCTTGATCTAAAGATAGGTATGAAATATTTCCCATTATAGGATGGATTATTGATGAATTTATTAGAGACATAAATTATTGTTAATAAGTGCAATGTCCATCTAAGTGCAATTATAAGTCCTATTAAGGAGGAATGTGATCTAGGGCCTATAATCTCCTATAATGGCTAACTAAATTAGGCCTATATAGTTTTATTCAACTATAGTTATATCTTTATAACAATCATGCCATGAGTTATCTCAATTCTCTCCCTCTCTCTCACTCCTACTCTCTCTAGTTTGATAATTATAAAGTGATCAACTTATCACACTAATGAGTCCAATGATTCAGCTAACATGTTTATAGGCCTTAAAAGATATTTGGATAGAGTAGGTCAATAATCCATATACCCTTCAATGCTATCTAAAGACATAATTCATTGGTATCCAATTTAATAATCATATCATACTATTGGTATATTATTTATGAACCTATTATCGATTATGATATATTCGGGTGATGACAATTTGCCATCATGGTATTATCAACCCCTATAGAGATATATAATGTTAAAGGTTCAAATATAAATAGGAGGTTGGGAGAAACTATATCAGACATAGTTATTAAAGGTTGGAGTGAACATAGCCATGATAATTTTATTAATGTATAGTTATCACATTACGTTTGTTTATATCCCTCTATATTGAAAGATGGTGTACTTCATCCCAACAAGCCACATAAATTAATAGTCATGAGGGAGGGTAAATTATGCTGTAAGTAAAATTCCCATGATGTTACCCACCTTTGCCATAGATGTGAGGGAAAGTATATCTCCTCTCAAAGGGTAATTTGTTACTATCTCAAAGGGTGGTTAACATTACTTATTTTAGCACAATAGTATAGCTTATATCATGGATGATATAAATTCTTTCCTAACATTACTTATTTTAGCCCAATCAAATAAGTAAATATATAACCCTATCCTAATAATAATATTATGTTTGTTCCCCTATAATAGAATAGGGAGAATATCAATATAATTTTAAAGGTAATATGTGGGTGGTCTTATAGGGTTATATATTGGGAAACTATCAATATTAAATATGATGACCTATTTGGAACATGATGGGCCTAAAACTAGCCTAATATAGATAGGTAATATTTTACTATGTCCATGATTATTTTGACCTCTTTTTGATTAATGATTATCCTACATAGTTAATAGAACACTTGGTGTCCCTATATTATAATATCGGGAGGGTTATTTGCCCCATTACTGATAAAAGATATTATCAAATAGGAAACTATTT